CTATCCTCGCCTTTTTTTCGTCAGTCGCTAATTAAATCAAGCAGGTTTAAGTTAGTATTAAAATAAGCCTTTTTAAGGGTGAAAACTTTTTCGATAACTGGAGTATTTTCCTCCTTTTTGTCGTCTTGTCCCAATAATCCAACCACTTGGCCTTGTCAATCATCAGAATTAATATTGACCCCAAAAATTTTTTCAAACCACTTTTTCACCTCAATTAAATTATCAATTTTGGCTTCTCAATTTTTTTCGTCCTCTCGGGCTACTACATAAATATCGATACCCAATTCATTTTTTAATCTGTCACGGGTTTGTTTTAGAACAGGGGCTCGGCGTTTTATTTCTTTCATTACCTCCTGTATGTTGTCAGTATTGAAACCATCACTAATTCCACTTAAGTTTACCACTTCTGGTCACACTTTATCTAACTCAACTTTGTTTTCCCACTGACTAGCAATAGAAAGTAAATCCTTCAGCGTGTGATCGGCTAATCAACTTTGATAACCTTTTATCTCTCTTGGCTCGCTGTCGTCGTCATTGATAATTTGATCGTTTCAATTCTCTTTGATATCTTTCCAATCCAAAGTGCTTATAACATCAGAATAAATTTCTCAATCCTTTTCTCACGAGAATTTGATTTCGTCTGTTTGGGTGGCTTTTCCGAGAACCTGCGGATTTTCTAAATCTATATCCAACAATTTCAAATTATTAATGGCTTTTCTTAAACTGGCTGCTATTTCTCTAAGTTGATTCACTTTCTCGTTTTCGCTATCTTTAACGCTACTAACATCCTCACCTAATATTATTTCGGTAAAATTGTCTTTTCAAGTGCTATCGCTGGCTTCGCTAGTTCCTGTGCCGCTCGTTGCTTTGGCTTCGGCGAGTTCCTTTCGCAATTCTTCGATATCGATGTGATTTAAGAGAATAGCCGGAACTTCCTCCTCGGGTTTATTACTTTTTCGGGCTTCTTCATTGGCTTTGTTGTAAAGTTCGACGGCGACCTCACGAACCAGAGTTTGAAAAAGATTCAAATCTTTTCGGCTTTGGGTGCTTAATCAATTCAACATGCCACTAAAACCTTCCGTAAAACCTAATTCTCTGTAATAATCTTTTCCACCATCTCGTAGATTAAAAAAAATAATTCTATCGTCCAGTTCAGTGATAAATCTTTGCAGAAAAGTATTGACTTGGTTTTCAAACTCTTTTGCTTTTTTCTTTTGAAAATTACGAGGAGATGTTGGAATGCCTGGCGTGGCGGGAGTTTTAGGAAAAATGAAGTTTTCGCTCTTGGCTTTGGCTTTGTCTATATTTAATGTTCCTTTTATTTTAATTTTTAATTCTTTCTTTTTTGTCATACTATATATAATATTTTGCTTATTGTTATTATTTTCTTTTGGATCTATATTATTATTGTTACCATTATTTCTATTATGGTAAATCTCAGTAAGTATTTTTATAGCCTCATTTGAAATTTCTGTAAGTTTTAAATTAATTCAAGGATTATTAATGTCATCAATTCCTTTGTAGACTACTTTTTGGTTATATTCATCTAATTCACCTTGGCTTATCTCACTTTCGACTATTTTAACTTGTAAAAAATTTATAACTTCTTTTTTAATCTCTGTGGAGGCTAACTCGTAAAGATTATCCACTTGTTCCAGGTTTTCTGCTCCCCAAATTTCTTCAACAAAATCTCTGTTAAGAGAAATTGAAAGATTTTCCATTTTATTTAATTCGTCAAGGACGTTATCAATCTCCTCAGTAGCAGCCTTTTTAACTCTATTTTTTGCCTTTCCAATGAAAGACTGCACGTCTTTAAAAACACTTTCTCTATCATTTTCCGGACAGTCTTTTTCCTTGTCATAATGTTTTCCTAATTCTTTTTGTATTCTTTTTTTGGCTTGGTCAAAAAGAAAATCGGGAATTGTATTTTGCTCGATATTTTTTAGGCTAGTTTCGTCAACGGCATTTTCAATGGAGGTGAAAATTGCCATTCATTGGTTGTTTCACTTGTCTTTTTTAACAATTTGTGCTCCGTATTTATTGAAGTAACTAGTTAAACGAACTTTCTCGCGTTCAAATTCTTTAATTCTCCTTTCTTCGAGTCTGATTTTTATCTCTTCTTCTTTTTTTTGTTTTTCCAGTTCTCCAATGTTTTGCAGGGCACTATCTAATATCGTTTGAAGTTCTTTTAATCCACAACTTTCGCCCATGACCATCATTCCCTCTCGATAGGTTACTTTGATTTCTGAGCCGAGAAAAACTCTCGCTCTCTGTTCGGCAGTAGATATTTGCTCTCAAACATTCTTCATGTGACCTTTTCGAACGGAAATGTTATTAATGAGGTACTTCAATCTTTTAGCGTAAATTGGTCTCTCATAAAGATTCTTGCCTTTCAAAATTTCCTTTCACTTAGTATAATCAAGGCCACTAGACATTTTTCCTAAACCAAAATAATCCATTAATTCTTCAGTTTTTACTCCAGAGCGAGCAAGTTCGTTTTTTATTTCGGCACTTAGTGACTCAAAAGAAGAAGAAGAATAAAAATCAGAAGCAGAAGTTCTGGAAAAGCGAGAAGTAGAACTGCTGGATGAACTACTGCCATTTCCGCTTAATCAATTATTATATCGTTGTCTATCTTTGCCCTCATTTTCCACTAAAATTTTTTTTGTTTCTGTGGCTAGTTGAAAAAGTGCTTTGGTTTTTTCATCTGTTTTTATACCAATAGCACCTTGATACTCTTTGATTTTTTTTACACAAGCACTTCTAAGTTCCTTTTTCTCTATATTTTTATCAACTCCTAAAAAATGATAAAAGTCGTTAAATCCCCATTTTATTAAATTTTGCTGAATTTTTTCGAAAGCATCCTTAGTCAAAATCTCTTCGCTTGTTCCACCGCCAATTTCTTGGTTAGTATTCAGCAGAATTTTTTGTATTTCCTTAATTAAGGCAGATTCTAAATGACTGACCGTTTTTTTATCAGAAGAACCCTCATTCTTGTTTTCTATATCTAGTGAACTACCCACCACTTATAGAAGTGGGGGCTTCTCGGTTCCTAGACAAGGCTATCACCTAGTCTCCCCGAAG